CGCGCTTCAGCGGGACGTCCATGTCGCAGTCGCCGCACTTGTAGTGCACAGTGCGCGCGGTTGCGTCGATTTGGCTGACGGTTGCTGGGTCCGTGGTTTGCTGGGGGTTGTAGGCCGTGGACATTTTGGCGGTGGTGTTGGTGCGTGAGGTTTGGGTGGTAGGACGGGGGTTGACGGGGGTGTGGTGTGAGGGTTGGAGGCAGAAATGTCTAGGTTGCGATGATGGTTTGCGCCGAAAACCGAGGGTCGCGGTGGTACGTGCTTGGGCCTTATCGATAGGGTATCTGGGACTCAAGGAAAGGGCGCGTCTGCTTCTTCATCGATGCATCCTCATCAGTGCAGTATTATTCAGCCAGTCACACTTTATTTCCAGAGTATACTCACGCCTTGTTATTAGTTTCCATTACTATTAGGGAATTAGGGAAGACAGTGTCATGTCTGCCGACACTCTCGATACAGGCAACTAACGTCCATGACGCTGCGAATCCTCGCAACAAGCACGAGCCCAGGAGATAACCTGTACAGTAAATCTTAGCATTAACGCGCACAGATCGAAGCGATGAGAAGGCAACCAGTCTCAATATCCAGAAGCCTATCTACAGTACTGTAGGTCGCCCAGTATGTGGCACGGTTCGGTCCTTCTCAAGGTTGATCTTGCGCGCCCCTACAACTCGATGGCATACCACACTTCAGCCCCTTCCTCGATCCCGACCCTTGTCGGATGTGCCCAATCAAACTGTGGATCAGCGATAATACTGCAAGATGTGCGCATGGAAGGTATAGTATGTCGCACGAGGCTGTGGTTACCCCGCCTCGATTCTATGGCTACTTAGGTCTGCCACGCCTCCTTCGTGCAGGCATGACATAGTGTCTCGTCGCTTTGCCCGCACCAACACAGCACTCTCGGCTGGTATCTCTTGAGGGACGGTCCCTTGGTAGATACTTCGACGATTATTCACCACCTCGCCTTACGCTTCACTGGTGCTATGCATCAAACCCCTCGGCGTCATGTCTCATATCATCCCTAGCGTGGCGAGACTGAGACCTGAAATCCGTCTCGCCGAAGCGGTGTCTCAATTCGAAGCCAATCTGTCTATGGTTGAGAAGGCCAGTTTCCGAACAGATCGATCGAAAGCGCTCGAATCGCCTCCCGGCCCCAACAGTGTCATGCGGGTCACTGCAGATATTGACAGAGCTCAAAAGGCTGGCAGTCGATGTTTTGGACCACGGTTCACGAATTTTCTCCATGGCGTTCAACAATTCGCTGCGCTTGGTGACGTAATTATTGGAGGATCTCAAAACATCATCGCATGTGGCGTATGGTCGCTAGTCCGCATGTCGCTGCTGGTAAGCGTGTTCATCTCATTCGAGTTCGGTCATTCGGAGCAAGAAGCGTTGGAAGGAGTGGATTCAACTGCTGACTATGGACAGGCGTTGGTCAACTCCTCGTCATATTTAGAGAGACTTTCACTGATCTTCATGGATGTTGGTCGCTCAGCTCCACGATATCAGGCGTTGGGACTTCTTTACCCCCGGTCAAGACTCCTCCAGTCCCAGATCAACGAATACTTCATCGTGGTAGTGCACCTCTGCAATCGTATCATGAAGTTCGCCCGGAAATCAACCTTCTCAAAGCTAGGCTATACGGTGAATGACTCGGACGTGAGAGAGTTGCAAGCTGAGCTCAACCTTTGGGCAAAGTCAATAAAAGAGGAAGTGGATCTTTTGTTGGCTCAGAAAATCGATATGGAAGTCCAGACTAGTTCAGCGTTCAGAGCTCTTTCAACACGACATGCAAAGGCAACTGAACATCAACGGAAACTGGCAGAAAGGCTCCGCATCCTCGATATGTTCTCAACACATGATTATGAGACACCCTGGAGGCGAATCCGCAAGACCGGAACTACTACCAGCTTTTTGCAAACCACCGAATATCATGACTGGAGAGATTGCAAGGCGTCAACTACGCTTCTCTATAGAGGCAGCATTGGCTCGGGTAAGACTGTCATGATGGCGAATATAGTCAACGATCTCGTTGCTCATATCGAAGGCACCGATGCTGTAGTTGCTTATCACTTCTGCGAGCACGACTCATGGGATCTAAATTGCCAACGAGTCCTTGGCACACTGGTACGACAAATACTCGAGACTGTACCGGACCTGACTACTTTGGACCCGCGACACAAACACTCATTCAGTGTGGAACAGTTCGTAACTCTGCTGTATGAGGTTGTTCCTCAGTCAACACACATATGGATAGTACTTGATGGACTACACAACTGTCTCGAAAAAGACAGAAATTACATCTTACTCGGGATCAAGGAGCTCCAATCAGTTCGGGATGTGCATTTATGTGTATCACATCGCGTGGACTCTCATAGTCTAGCAGATATGCCAATATTCCGCCCTGCTGTTGTCACGCTACAGCCCGAGAACGCCCAAGACATTGAAGCGTTTGTGGACACTGAACTGGAACGCTGTCTGACAACCCGTAAGCTGGTTCTCGGGGACCCCGCTCTTATATTCGACATACGGGACGCTCTAATGAAGGGCTCGCAAGGCATGTTTCTTTGGGCAACGCTACAAATTGAGTCATTATGCTCGATGAAGACTGATAAAGAGATTCGCGAAGCACTTCTTGATTTACCTCGCAATCTTACGCAGGTCTATAATCAAATACTGAACCAGCTGCAGCAACCTGGTCGAACTTATCAAACAGAGATATTCAAAATCATCACATCTACGATGCGACCGCTTACAATGGAAGAAATGCAGGAGGCCCTGAGTGTCACACTTGGCGATACAACCTGGGACCCCTCGAAGCTTCTGAACAGCGTGGATTCGGCTTTGGCAACTTGCGGCTGTCTCATTACCGTGGACGAAGAAGACGGCACGATACGTACAGTACACCCGAGCGTCAACCAGTACCTCATACAAAAAGATCGAGAGGGCCACAATGGCGGGGTTTGTCTCGACCCCGAAGAGGCCCGAACGTTCACGGCATCGATAATGGTAACCTACCTTGGCTATGGCCTTTTTGGTACGGAGCTATCGAGCCCCCTTCCCGCAATGCAGTTGGGATCAGCGCCTTCTCATATTATCAGCTCAACACTAGACAACTCCAAGTCCGTCCAGAGTGTCGCCCTGAGGTTTTTGAGGTCCATGAAAGAGTCGCAATTTGACGCAACAAAGGTTCTTGCCGAGAATCTCACGTTGCAGTCCAAAGTCAGCGCTCATCGATTTCCCTTCCAGTACTTGGCGAAGCAATCTATACTGATGTATCTATATTTACTCCCGATGCTACTCTGCAGTACCTCAGAAAACTTCTTTCGGGTCCTCAAGCAAGGGACAGTACGCCTCAAAACCCCGGCCGGGATAGTCGGGATAACCTGGGTTGCGCTCCAACCCCCTGGGAATACTGACATAACCGATCTTCTCAACAACCTGAGCCTTGAGGGGGACTGGAGCGGTAAACTGGCAATCGACATGTACCGCTTGCTTCCCAATGTGCTCCTCCGGGCGATCCACCTTGGTCACGAAGAATCGATCAAGTACCTATTAAACATGTACCGCCCCCTCTTTCAGGACTACCCCGCCGCAGTAGAAGGGATTCAAGGCAACGTTCCCAAGGTACTAAGGGATCTGTGCAAGTATCACTTCTTCCCGGGGTGTACAACGCAACCAACATCCCAAGAGCTTCGACACGTGCTCCTCGGGTCCAAACCAAAACCATTAACACAAGCTATACGCACACGCAACAAACATGTATCATTAGCACTCATAGAAGATGAGTTCATTATGGCTGATGATGAAATGCTTGAGGAAGACGGGGCGATTGAAAGCGCTGCAAAGTTTGAAACTGTGGGAATTCTGGACGCGATATTGTGCTCGAAGAGTTTTGCACACATATCGGCAGAAGATTCGCGTGAGCTCATTCAGAGGCTCCATGCCGATGAGAAATCTCGAGACATAATGTTTCGCGTACATAATCGGCAGCAGCAAAGACCGGGGCCTCGCAATGAGATGTTTACGTCCCTTTTCATGTCCACTTGGAAAGCCTAGCAGCGATTCTGCGCGACTTAGCAATTACGATAGCATTAATTTTGCTAGAAGGAGCATGCTCTCTAATAGCAAGCTTTGCTCTCGTCCCCTAGACTCCTACACTCAACTCCAGATCTTCCCGCAGCACCAGCAAACATGGCTACCGACGAGAAAAAGACCCAGATGCAGTTCGAGGAGAACATGAGAGCCACCATCATCTGTAAGTCTTCATCTGACTACGACTTCCTCACACATCTGACATCATGTATAGCCCAGGCTGGAGCAATCTACGGCCCAAAATAGTCCGCGGACTGCACTTTCGACGTTGTCACTTCCGAAAAGAAGGGGGGTCCCGACCAGGCGACTGGATACGTCGCCTGGGTCGTTGTCTACCCCGGCCCCTCTGCCCCGTCCTTCGGCCGCCAATGGAAGCCTGTTCTGCGGACATACCGAAAGATCAACTTGCAAGCCGCGTACGAGAAGCTCATCTACACTCTGCGTAACCAGATGGCCGATGTGATGCGTAAGTGGAGAGACATCATGACATTGCATATAAGATCAGTCCACTGACGAATGATCCCAGGTCAAATCGATCAGACTGCCGTCGCGACCGAGAAGTACGAACAAGGCGATGAGTAATATGATCCTTAGCATATGGGCTACTAGAGTTCATCAAGATGTGAAGATCGCCCGAGAAGTCACCGTCTGTTTACAGGGTCTGGAGACCTTTACGTTTTCGGTCTGGGCTTTGCTATTTGCGGTCACGCCATTACAGTTTAGCAAAGGCAAAACAGCCCTGCTCAAGTGAAGGAGAAGGAAGGACCGCAAACTGTCTTGGTGCACGTATGCTACGATAAATACTCTGCTTTCCGCTCCTTGCTCAGTCCTGCACTCTTGCATCCCTGATCCCAACTCGAAGCCTAACATCTACTCCAAATCCTCGCGCGACAACAGCAAACATGACCTCCGCAGCAGTGGAAGAAGAGGCGCTCAAAGCCATCATTATCTGTAAGCTTGATCGTGACCACATTACTCTCACAAATGAGAGAAGTCGCAAGATTAATTTACTGTCGCGACTACGTTCATGCTAATGCAATCCAACAGCTCACGCACGCGTGGTTTACGGTCCCGGATACCCTGCCGGTTCTGTATTCGATGTCGTTAATAGTAGCATTGAGAACCACACTCGTTTCAGGTCTCATGTCGTCGTTCACCCCGAAACTGAGCCATTTGTAGCAGGCGAAGTTGTGCCCGGCAAGTGCACTGTGGTCATGGCATCCGTGGAACACCCAAACGTACAGAGTAGCTACGAAGCTATCCTTCGGCATCTGCGCCTTCAGATCCCTGTAGTCTTGCGTAAGCAGAGAAGCATAATGATAAAGGAAACTCAGTTACTGACGAAAGGTAGACGGGTAGAAGCCAGACTAGCACCAACGAGCCAACAGCAATGGACTTTTTGACACTGGAACAAGGTTTTGGATTCGTCTGTAAGAGGATCTGTGCGTTATGTTTGCTCAGTAGTAGTCATGTAAAGCTATGAGGAAGGAAATTGGCTTGACACATGTAAAACAGCTTGAGTAATGTGAATACACGTGAAAGATGGGTATCGCTTCTTGGCACACAAAATGACTATAACCAGATCCGTTCTCTGCTGTCTACTTCCTCTTTCTTACGATAGGTTCGAAACGCCTGTCCCCTTCAGCGAAGATGGGAGATCACAGTCAAGTCATGCACGAAGAGGCGCTTGTTGCGCGCATACTGTGTACGTCTGAGCGCACCCAACGTCTCTCTGTCCATCCAGCTAATGTAGTCAACAGCACAGGCTCGTGCCATCTACGGTCCTAAATACCCCCATGGCTCCACATTCGATGTCATCTACAGCAGCAAGATATCTACAGGCAAGAACCTTGTCGTATGGCTCATCGTTTATCCAATGCCAGACATTGCTGCCTTCAAGACTGGAAAAGCTGTATCGAACGAGTGGACTCCAGTTCTAAAGTCGCGGCGCATAGACGAAAAAGGAACTGGTTCCACCCTTCAGCGAGGTTACCAAGATCTTCTGGGGGAGCTACGTAACATGATGGTCGAGACTATGGCTTCCATGGGTAAGTAGAAGATTGCGATGATTTGAGAGAACTGCTCGTCAGAGAAGACAGAGGAGACAGAGAAGTTAAAGAAGGACGACATCAGCACTGACAAGTATTCAGCGCTGAATCCAGCGGCTTGTGGCTAAGCTGTCAGTCGACTGATAGAAGGATACATGCATTGAGTCACTTCGCCGGCAATCATAGAGAGCAAGGCAACGGGTTACCGCACTGGCAAATACGACTTTGGTAGGGTCAAAACGAAGGTGAATGTGAGATGTATGTCAGCGCTTCGGCTCACACATAGTTCGCAATAGACCCTCTACTCCTGATTGTCTGCTTCTCGCTCTGACTGTTTCATACTCCCACGCTAAGACCAAAACCCTGCGCGACAACATCCGGAATGTTTGACAACTTCGAGAAAACCGGCGGCCAAGATCAATCTGAAGAGACGCTTAAAGTGGCACTGCTGTCGTACTGCTGCGCGCTTGGCATTGCCGAATGTGGACTAATCGAATGCTGAAGGTGGAGGTGGGCCCGGGATTGCGTCTTGTGCAGTACCATGGTAACCATATAGACAAGAAGAGTCTGATAATCGCAATCTCTCTTATTTCATTGAGGTGCACTTTTGCGCATGTAGCAGTGATACATTGCGGGAGTTGTGAGTGGCTCGCTTGCTCTACGTTATCGCAGTACCTAGGTACCGTTGGGTAAAGTGGATAGCATCCAAGATATAGCATCGCACACAACTGTGAGTCGAACAAGAGGGAAAGCAATAAAATTTGCACAGTACGGCGGTACCTAAGTATATAAGAAACCTTTCGCGCAGCAGCTCCAATTTCTTTAAAAATCTTACTCCAAAAAATAAATTACCACCAACACAACAAGTCGTAGAATACACGATGTCAGAGACAAAAGCTAGTGCCTGGCCCAGACCCGAATCCGTCATGTGCGAGAAAGAGATGAAGGCAGAGATCCTGCGTGCGTAATGCTATTCTTCGGTCACATCGTACTTTTTACTAACTTGTGACTAACCCGCAGTACATGCTCGTGTTCTATATGCCGAGCGTTCTCGTTTTGGTTCACATTTCGACATCATCCACAGCACGACCGACACCTCCAAAGAGCCTTATTACGAAACGCACCTTATCGTCAGTGTCCCATCGGATTATTGTCGAGCAGGAGACTGGGAACTTCTCATCTCGGTCGGCAAGAATAAGACTTTCGCGGACGGATTGGATGCTCTCATGATAGAACTTACACAGCGGCTGGGTAAAATCATCGGTAAGCACGGTGGCCGAAGACGAAAAGCGCGAGAACTAACTGAGCGGTTCTATTACAGAGCAGAAGAGAAAGGGCCGTGATCAAGTACCTATAAAGGTTCAGGAGCGCCGCGAGGACAGAGAGGCTAGAGAGGCTAGAGAGGCTGAGAATGAGAGAAGATGTCTCTAATCCATTCGATGGCGGAACTAAGAGAAGAGGCCGACTGGCTAACGGGACCACCGCGACTCGCAGCAAGAGTCTTGAACTAGCTGCACTCGACATGGCTTACTTTTAGATCTTCTTCGATTGGGTCGCTGAGCTGATGAGCATCGCTGGGAAGGTGGGAAAGACATCCTGATGTCAAGGGCAGTGAGCACACAGCCAGTGCACACACTCAGTTCCATACCAACACTGCTTGAGCTACTAGATAGCCTCCAAGCCTTTAAGATGAAGCAATGATCATCAACACTCCAAAGTCTCCCTCGTGTGAACGTCTTATCGGTATCAGCGTGTCCAAAGGCTTAGGTTTCCGTACTGTTGCGGTCCCCTGTATTCTCAGAGCACCTCACAAAGATAAAACATCGAATAGGTATGGAGCCTACGTCAAGACAAGATTTCACAAAATATATGATCTGATGGTAACGTAGGCTCTAGGGTATCCAGTTATCCTCTTGACTAACGCGAGGGCATTACAAAGAAACACTAGATCGAAGACGCGGCTTCCGTGGCGCGCTCTGGTACACCCACTGTGGCGAAGTCCGCAAGAGCCGCTCAATACGAGAAGAGAGAGAATACGAGAAAGAGAGGTAACACGAAGAACGAAAGTTGAATGCATCCCAACGACGTATAAATATGTCGATACCGTACGCTTTTCAGGTCATCTCATCAATTACTCACTGTCATTCCTCTCCTGTTGATCATGTTGCGCTACCTCACCCTCGCATCACCCGCCCTCGCATCACCCGCCCTCGCAAGCGCAGCCTCAACACCACCCCCACCATTCTGCCGCACAACCCCCTCGGACGCATCATGGCCCACACCCCCAGAATGGTCCGCCCTAAACGCCACAATCAGCGGCTCCCTAATCCGCACCGTCCCCGTCGCATCCTCCTGCTGGCCCTCCACCAACACCACCTTCACCTCCCCTCTATCCTGCCAAGAAGTCAACGACAACTGGTCGAACGGAACCTGGCATTCGCAACAGCCTGAGTCGATCGACTACCAGTTGTATGCGAATAATTCTTGCTTGCCAGATGAAGTGGGGAGTTGGTCGGAGAAACAGGGGTGTACGATTGGGGGGTTGCCGCAGTATATTGTTAATGCGACGGAGGAGGTTGATGTGGCGACTGCGATGAAGTGGGCTGTGGAGAGGAATGTGAGGATTGTTGTTAAGGGGACGGGTCATGATCTTAATGGACGGTAGGTATTTCTTGTCTTGAACATGTTGGTGAGAGGATGCTGACATTGCCTCGATAGATCAAGCGGCGCTTTCTCACTGTCAATTTGGACGCGCAACTTCCGCCACCTAACTCGCAACACAGCCTGGCGTGCCGCCAATAGTTCTTCCCCACCCGAAGACGTCTTCATCGTCGGCAGCGGCCAGCAATGGGGTAACGTTCTCTCCTTCGCGACAAGTCAAGGCCGGGTCGTGACGACAGGCCAGGATCCCAGTGTCGGTTTAGGCGGATACATCCAAGGCGGTGGTCATGGCCCGTTGGCTTCCACCTACGGTCTGGCATCGAGCCAAGTTCTACAGATGACCGTCGTAACTACCACGGGACATGTGCTTGTCGCCAATGAAGTCCAGAACCAAGATCTCTTCTGGGCACTGCGCGGCGGCGGTGCAGGACAATATGGCGTCGTCACTGAATATGTGATCAAGCACCACCCCGATCCGCGTAACGTCGTCATGGCAAGTGTCCAGATCAAACCCAAAGGCAGCACGAACGCCAGTATGGAAGCGTCGTGGTCGGCAGTAGCCAGTTGGCTCAGTGCGCTACCCGACCTCATGGACGCTGGACTTGCAGGCGCTGCAACCGTCGCAGTAGGAAGCACGGCACCGAAGTTCTTCCCTGATATCGACGTTTCGAGCGGTCCATTCACTGGTATCGGACTCAACCAAGTCTTCTGGGCGTTCAACACTACGCCCGCTGCCGTCGAAGCGCTCGTCCAACCCATCTTGACAAACCTCCTCCTTCAGTCCAGCACCAATACAAGCACCACCGGCAACGACAGCTCTCTCGTCTCAACTTCAATGTCGACATCAACTCACAGCAACTACCCCTCCTTCTTCACCACCATCTCCGGCGACAACGTCGCAGGCGGCGAATCCCTCACCTCATCCCGTCTCCTCGGCCGCGCCGAACTCGTCTCCACTCCCCACTCGCAAGTCATCTCATATTTGAAAATCGCAATGGCGAGTCAAAACACCACAGACCCAGGAAACTACGCCACCATCGGCCTCTCAGGCGGGCCCGGCGTGCACTCCACCCCATCCCAACACTGGGGCGCCTTACACCCCAGCTGGCGCACTGCGTACCTTCATTTCATCGCCACGGGCGCTACGATCAACTCCCGAGCCGCAGGGAGTGCGAAGCGCGCGTTGAGCATCGGTGCGGAATGGCACAACGCTGTTAAGGAACGCATGTGGGAGGAGTGGACGCCGGGGTCGGGGGCTTATATGAACGAGGCGAATCCGTATGTTGAGGGGTTCCAGAAAGTGTTTTATGGGGAGGGGTATGAGAGGTTAGTGGAGGTGAAGAGGAAGTATGATCCGAGTGGGAGTTTGTTTGTGTTGGCGGGTGTGGGGACGGAGGGGTGGGAGTATGATCTTGATAGTGGGAGGTTGTGTAGGGTTTAGAAAGGGGCGGTTGATGGGGTTGTGGGGTGTTGTGAAGTTGGTAGGTGGTATGCGCCCTGGCTGTCGTATTGGATAGATAGTGCATGTTGGTTCCTTGGTGGCCTGCGAAAATATGGCACGTCGATTTGGTACCCTTGATAGTATCCGGCTTTCACGTGTTGTGTTACGCGTCTGAAGGAAGACGGTGGGTCATAGTTGGCATTATAGTGGGGCGCGTCGTTACAAGGCAGTCTGTGACAGGAGGCGCGGTCCTCAGAGAGATAAAGAATTTCGTGAAATGTGACTGAATTGATTGTGTCAATTGGGTACTGCAGATAACTCATCATGCTATGATCCCATTTTCCCATCCACCGCTCCCGTCCTAGTATGAGCCAGTTTGATATGGCGCCCGGTGTCCTCATGTAGCCCGCAAGGGAGTCTCGTATATAGAGATCGTATGTCGTGCGTATTTCGTTTACTGGCCGACCTTCTTGGTCTCCTCCTGGAGCTCCTTGATCTGCTGCTTGGTGTCCTTGCCAGTCTCGGAACGATCCGCCTTGACCTATACTCTCTGTTAGCCAATGCCCTCATAACCGTGTTCTTCCATCTTCCTGAAGGGGGAAAATGCAACTTACAGCGCTCTCGCTGTCACTGGCAAGCTGCTCCTCCCAGTGTTGCTTGCCGTCCTTCTTCTTGTTGAGCTGCTCCTGCTTCTTCTTCTCGACCTCCTCGGCGCGGTTCTCGGAGTCTGTTCGCTTATGTCAGCTCGATTCCTTCTCGTTGTACGATGTTGGCACGCGTCCAGCTTTATGGTGCTGGTTGCTAAGCCGAGGTTTGCGGCGCGGACGTACGGAGAGCCGACTCCTTGCCAGCGGTGCGGGCTATTGACTGGGAGAAAGCGGCACGCTGGACAAAGGCAAAGGGAGCGCGACGGGTCGCGAAGGCACGGATAGCGGACATGGTTGGTTTCGGGGGTGTTTATGTGGAGGGAAGTTTGCGGGGTTTCGGCGGTATAGCTCGGGGCTTCTAGCTTTGGGTATGTTTCTGTGTGTTCGTGTAGCTTGACAGGAGGAAAGAAGGTCAATTGAGTCGATGGAGTATCCGAGTAGTATAGAAAGAGCTTGCAAACTTGGCAGATGGACGCTTCAGAAGGAAAGGTTGGTATGCTGGAGAAAACACACGTTCCTCGGTTAGTGGACGTGACTAGCTCCAGCAGACGACGTCATACTTTCCCCGGCCGGCAATCACCATTACGAACATTGGCCGATTCCTGTCAGCCACTCGACGGAGCCTCATTAGTCATGCCTTTGCGACAACTAACTCAGGTCTAGATCTGCAGAGGCTCTTGTGGATATGCAGGCCGCCCAATTCCAGCATAACGTACCAGTAGCCATCTGGAGCTTGGGGTCAGCTGCCCAAATGCCACCTGGCACAAAACAAAGTATCGGTTACATATCAGCTCTTGGCCATCGCGTCGCTGGCCCCAGTTTCTGTCCGTTCGTCTTGTTACTCGTGCCTGGGTATGCCAACGCGACGATGGACATGCACAGACCAAGACACGCGAATGCAATGGACCCACTTACACGTCGCAATTGCCATGATGGACGTCGACTTCGATTGCGGTGTCGAACCCCAGGCCTAGCAAGATGCTGTAGTCGACAGCAGTGTTTGAAAGACAGATAGCAACTCCTTACCGCTCGACGAAAAGCGCGTGAGACGACACTGGAGTTGCATGGCGAACATCGCGATGAGTAGCTGACTCTAGGTGCGTTGGTCAGAAAGCGATGAGACCCGACTAGAGGAGAGAACAAAGATGCCGTCTTTGTGGGAGAAGCCTGTGATGAGCCTGAGAATCTCGATTGGATTCGCGATACCAAAATTATTGCCGATAATGAGGACGCTGGATATGACTTGATTAGTACCGGCGTCTGCGTCACGAGTAGACAAGAGACGACTGGAGCGGAGAGTGCTTTCTGAAGAGCAGGAAGAGGATAGGGTACGCGCATCAAGTTTTGAAGTAGGGACGCTTGTAATGGACATGATCTCTTCGAAGAAAGCAAGATATTCTGTGTCCTTGTCGTCGAGCTCCCTGATCCCTTCTCTTCATCGATCTTGTCTTGCTACGTATTTAGTTGTTCATCCTCGATGCCGAGTGCTGATTGGTATTGTGTAGGACGCGTGCTCGAGCTATGGGCAATAAGAGTGTAGAAAGTGAGAACGATGATATCAAACCTGCACAGGTAGCCTTCGGCAAAATCAAGA